GCTCCAGGGTGAAGGCTGAGTGATTGGGAACAGGAGGAGGAGGTCTCTTTCTCTGATGTGTTTTCTCTCCCTTTTTCATTCCAATCACATTAGTTAGCAGCTGCTACATCTATTGTGTCTATGTGATTCAGGGACAAGTAGATTTATTAGAAAAAACATAGGAGTTTTCAGAGAGAGACACCTGGGCTCTTGAGTGACCTTGGACCAGTTCCTGCACTTTTCTAGGTTTCAGTTGCTTTATCCACTATATGGGGATAATAATCCCTGTTGTGCACTCCTCACCGGGAAGCCATGAGGATCAAGTGTGAAGGGACTTTGAGAAATGTGAAGTGTGTGATTGTGGGAAGGTTTGCTGTGAGTAAGGAGGGCCCCTGACCAGGGCTCTCTCAGTCTGCAAGGGAGGCAGCCCCACACAGCCACCTCTGTACGAGAGGCCAGTGCTCCCTTCCCTCTCCCACTGGAGTCTAGGTTCAGGAGACAGAATACTGAGAGAAACTGAGGGCCCCGACCCACTTCTTCAGCCTCGTCCCTCACCATGACCTTTCTCTTAGGCCACACTGCAGCCCTGCTGAACTAGTGGAAATTCCCCAAGGCTGCCAGAAGCTTTCTCTGTGCTGAGCCTTTATCTGTGCAGTTTCTTCTCCCTGGACACCCTTCCCAGCTCCTCCACCTGGTGTGTTCCTACTCCTCTTTCAAGACTCAGCTTAGATGTCCCCACTTCTAGGATGCCTCTCTTAGCCTGGTCCAGAGCCTCCTACTTCTCTTGATTAGTGCACCAGCCTCCTGCCTGAGCTCTTGGCCTCCAGCTTCTCTTTTCCACTCAAAGCCCCCAGGGTGCAGCCAGCAGCCTTTCTAGAGCACAAATCTTGTCATGCCACTCTCTGCTTAAAATAACTGGTCAATGGAATAATCCATCAATCAATGCTTCAAGGGCTCCTCCTTGCCCTCAGGAAGACATCCATAGTCTTCAGCTGGAACTCAAGGTATGGTCCCTGCTGGTGTCTCCAGCCCCAGCTCTCCTCTCTCTCCCGATCACCCTGTACACGTGCTACACCCCAGCCACATTGCTGTTGTACCATATCTCAGACACACCTCGCTCTCTGTACCTTCCAATCTTCGCTCATCCTGTTTTTTCTTATGCCCATTCCCATCTTCTCCACCTGGGAACTTCCTGCCTAATCTTTAAGGCCAGCTCTGATTTAACCTCTTCTGGGAAGCCTTCCCTGGTGGCTCCAGGAAGAGTCTGTGGCTTTCTCTTCTTCCCTCTTCTATATGACTACTCATGCTTTTGTTACTGTTTGTCACCTTGTCTGCTTACACTGGGAGTTTCCTGAATCTGACACTTGGCTGTGTCCCCAGCAGCACCAGCACAGGGTCATAGGGCAGCCGTGTAGGATTTGTTGGTTGGTTGGATGGTTGATGAATGAATCAATGAATGAATGGTGAATGAATCCATCCTTGAACCAGCACTTCTTGGCCAGCCCCGGAACTGCTATTTTCCAGGGTAAGCCCATTTTATAGCAAAAGGGGAAGCAGAAGGAAGGGACTGCTCTGGAAGGGAGAAAGAAAATCAATAAAAATGTAAATCTGGTTGAGAAAAGCTGTCCCAGGCTGGCTGTGGGGAGAGATAAGACTGGGCCGGCTGAGCCCTGGCTGACAGTGGGAGAGAGATTAGGGGGCCAGCAGAGCTGCAGCCAGGGCAGGGCAAAGGGAGTGTCTGCCCTCAGTGGTGCCTCCTCCCTCTGCTCCACCACAGCCCTGCCCCCATGCTCTATGTGTTCCTTTCAGGCCAGGGGAAGGGGAAGGACACTTACAAATATTGATCACCAGGTGCGCTGCCTATGAGTGAGTATCTTATCATTATTTGGTCTTCACAACTTTTGGGAGACAGGAGTTAGGAATGATCAACCTCACTTCACAGATAGAGAAACTGAGATTGCAGAGAAGGTAAACCACTTGTCCAGGGTCACACCGTGAGTAAGTGGCAGAGTGGAGATTTGAACCCAAATCTGACTCTAAAACTCTGTTCTTTTCACTCCACTCCATTGAAGGTCTACAGCCAGGCTTCAGATGGTCCCGAACCTCTGAACGCAGATGCACAATCGTGTATATGTTGGTGTACATTGGAATCTATATCTTTTATCAGATTCCCTGAGGTGGTTGTCACCCACCCCCATTGCCTACACCACGCTGCCTCCCTGGAGATGGTGGCCTTTGAGCTGGGTCTGGAAGGTTGGGTGGGACATCATGAAGTGGGATGGAGAGGCAAGCAGTGAGGTGGGGATGAAGAAGGCCAGCTGGGTAGAGGGAAGAGCACGTGCAGGGGCCTGGTAGGGGGAAAGGATTCAACATATCCAAAGAACGGCGAGGGTGGCCTTCATTCTTGCTCCTCATTTATTTGTGCTCCAATCATGGCTCCTGGCTCCCAGCTTCTCAGGGGCATCTGCCTGCCCTGCACCTTCCCAGCATGGCTCTATAGGCCAAAAGAACTCCAGGCCAGGCATCAGGATGTCTGTCCTGGTCCCAGTCCTGTCCTCCACAGAGTTTTACCACCAGTAGAATATAGCAGGGAGACATGACGCCTTCTCCTCCAGCTCCCAGGTACAGGGTGAGAAGACTGTGGGCTCACAGATGCAGTTGCTCATGGCTCTTCATTGGCCAGAGGCCATATTAGGGAAGAGGGCTGCTCCCTGGACAGCCTTGGGCCCTGGGAGCCCCTCTGGCCCTTACCTGTTCCACCCCTGGCTCTCAGCCCCACGTCTCTCTTGTGATGACTCCAGGAGTCTCCTCGCCCTCAGCAGCCTGGGAGGTTTTAGGCACAAAGACCTCATCTTCTCCTTCAAATCTCAGCTCGAGTGAGAGGCAGCAGACTCAGCATGAAGCTAATGCTGCTTGAGCAGCAGGGCCTCTCCCCAGGCCCAGGGAGGGGCCTCCCCAATGTGTTCACCTTGTTGTGTTCTTGGGAAATTTGCAAAGGTAAGATATTTTAACCACAGTCAGTTAAGACTGTTAGGTCTTTCCACTCGAACTTCCTTTGAGTCCTAATTTCCCTTTATGTGACGTGGTTGGAGGGGCCATAGGTATTTCTGGGACCTGGCTATGGGGGAGCTGAGTTAGGGATCAATTTGATTTGGGCTCATTGGGACATATTTATGTGGTTCTCAGTCACCTCTGTGTATAGATAAATCTTTGCTAGCCACCTCCGTGTAGAAAATGACTTCTAGAAATCTTCCTACTCACTATCCAACTCACTCGGCATTGTGACACCAAGGTGTCATATCCAGAGGTCATCTCGTGACATGAATGTGTTTTATGCCACCTGGTCCTGGAACTAAACGGGCAACAGAGGGGAAACAGCAGAAACAGATTTGAAATGTGCAGAACCAGAAGCTGGTCTGTTGAAAATCTTTCCAGTCATCGGAGGAAAAACGTATTTTAGAGGTATGCACAGCAGTTAGTAAAAAATATTATGCTATTTTTCTGAATTGTGTGATGTATTTGTTTGACTTCTCTTCTCATTCTGGGTAAATATTTACTTCCTTACCTAATTTTGTGTTCTTTTTCTTAAAGAGGGCTCCCCAAATTGTATAAGCTTCAGTTCCCACAAAATCTGGCTCTAACCCTGGCTCCACCATTTACTTTCTGTGTGATCTTGGGCAAGTTGCTTATCCTTTCTAAACTGTTTCCTCTTCTGTAAAACATGAATGACACTTTGGACAGGTGAGGACTTGTGACCTTATTCCATTTCTGAAACCATTACTAGAGGAAGTAGACCAGCCAAATGAAAATTAGACCAGAATGTACAGATAAGGAAAGATATAATATACAAGAAATAATGGTTAGCAATGAATCCAGTAAAACTTAAATCTAAATAACTGGAAATAATGTGGTTCTTGCAAACTGTAATGCAGTTTATAAGAAAGGATTTCTGTAATAGAAGAGACATCATGCAAGAACAAATTTAATAATAAGCTGTATCTATAATTCCAGATTATTTCTGCAAAACCTGGGAAACAGGATGGAAGGAGAAGGAATATAAACATTTGAATGGAAGGGGAAGGAATATAAACATACGAACAGCCTCATCTTGTTGGAGAAGACTTTGAAATTCTTGGCATTGATAAATGTAGGCTCAGATATTTGTTAAACATTTAAAGGTGTCAGCCAGTGGGATAAAAATGGGAGTTAGAACTTCTGTACCTGCTTCTTCGCTCACGTGGGTTGGCCTCAAAGCCCTGCTACTGGGAGATGCTCAGAGGGCCAGAGCCACATGCGACCCCACCCCCAGCTTTTCCCCTGGCCCCAGCACAGGGCTGGACACGTGGCTTGTGAAGCCACTCCAGAGCGGCAGGTCCCAGCCAGGCGGGGTATATGGTGGCAACAGAATGGGCTGGAAGCAGATTGGGAAACTCTCTACCCATCCCAGGGAGATAACCAGGCCAGAGAAGACTGGCCATAAAACAAGACAAGGCCTGATGTAGACAAGGACCAGTTTGTTAAGACCCAAGCATTTCACAGACCCACTCATTCCACAGAGCTGGGCATTACTGCTCCCAGCATGAGAGGCCTGGACATGAGAGGCCTGGACATTACAAAGAACAGGTCCTTATACCAACACAGGCATCACAGAGAACCAGATGTTTCCCCCAAAACTTGGGTGTCACAGAGCCAGACACTGTCTACACAACCCCAGGTGACAAAGGTTCAGGCACCTGGGGGCAAATGGTGAAATTAGGATTTTAGTCACAAAAGTCACAGTGAGTTTGGTGGGCCCTGGTCAAATGTGTGAAATCTTGGCAATGCACAGGTACCAGTGAGTGTGTGCTGAGTGTGTTGGGTCTTTGAAGTTAGACAATGCCTGTGTGGGGCCTGGGTCTCCCTCCCCACCAGATCCCCTAAGGCAGAGACTAGGCCTCACCCAGACCGTGGCTGGCTCACTGAGCGCAAGGCCTGGACTTCCTGAGTCCTGAGAGTGAGTCTCGCCGCTCAGCTAAGGCCCCTGGGGCCCCCACACCTGGTTTCCTGAAGGCCCTGCCCAGCCTGGATGTCCTGAGTGTGAGGCCAGCTCCCTCCCCTCCTCCCTCAGGACTCAGTGCTCTGCCTCCAGGGGGCGCCAAATGGACACTTCTTGACAGAGGCTGTCCTGGCCCCACCTCCAGGCTGAGTGGGCTGGCGAGGCCTGAGTCCATCCTGACCACACAGATGGTCACAGCTGGAAGAGGCCTGAATGCTAGCAAGTCCATTTCCACCTGACAGAGATCGTGGCTGAGGCTCAAAGACGGTGCTCCAGGTGAATGGTAGGGAAGGGCTAGGATCCTGTGTGCAGGGCAGCCTGGCTTACTATTGTCCACTTCTTTATCCTGGGGCCTGGAAGAAAGATGTGTGGTCCTTCCACCCAGGAAAGCCTGGTTTCAGATCCGCCTGTCTGGCTGGAGGAGGAAGAGGGAAGACCCTCTTGCTTTAGAAGTGGCCACCACAGCAAACCCCCAAGCAACTCCTTGGATCAGATGAGCAAACAAAGGCCCAGAGAGGGTCAGTGACTTTTGCCCGAAATCACACAGCAAGTTAGTGGAGGATTCAGAATTGGTAAACAGGGCTCCTGACACCCAATCTCGGGCAAAGGGCCCAGAGGAGGTACTCGCCGTGGCTGTCACTCTTGGCCAGGGTGGGGCCCTGGGACAGCTCACACTCTGGATTCCTCAGGCTTCTTCTCTGGCCCTGACACTAACAGCTGCTCCTGTAGGCCAGGGCTGGGTATGGTCACCTTGGTCCTCTCCTCTTTGTCCTGCTGCCTTAGGACTGCCAAAATCAAGGCAAAGCAGGCCAGGGAGCCCGTCTTGAAGAAGAGCTGGAGGCCGATAAACCTGGGAAAGAACAAGGGCACCTTGAACTCAGGACCTAGCTATCCAGGGCTTGGACGTCAGCAATCATCACTCACTGTGCGGGCGGAGACACCGAGTTCCTGGGGGGAGGAGGCCTCCAGCCCCAGGGCAGAGGACCCTGTCACCATGGCCTTTGTTGGGGAGAGAGGGGAACCCCTGGAGTTGACCCGCAAGGGGGCGCTTCCCTGGAAGAGGGGGAGAGGCTCTGCAGAAGGAGCCCTGGGCGGGAGACAGAAGCCAGGCATCCTCCCTGTCCTGTCCCTGACTGCCTGGGGCCTGGGCCAGCTGTGCCTCTCTTGGGGTCTCTCTAAGGGCTCAGGGGGCCTGACAATAGTCACTTTGGATCGCCCCGTCAGCCACAAGAAGACAAGGATCCCTCTCTCCTGTTTGTCTAACTCACCAAGGCTCTGGTTTGACTTTTCCTCCTCCAGGAATCCCCCCTGGACTGTCCTAGCCCACAAGAACCACGCCCTCCTCAGAGCTGGAAGTGACTAGCTCTTGCTGCCAGCCCTGCTAGCAAGTCCCCCCAACCCTCCATCTATCTGGGCCAGCAGACTCTCTGCCTTCAGGTCCCTTTGGGCTCCCCGTAGCGTGGAGGGGAAGATGGAGTCCCAGAAAAGGCAGGTCTCACGACGAGAGAGACAGAGCTGGGCCTGGATCCCAGGCCTCCCACGTCCTGGACAGGGCCTCCCCCCGACACCCCACCTCCCCGTCTCTCTCACTGGGCTGCTCCCGATTCCCCCCACACTCAGCCATGACAGTACGTGTTCCTGCACAGACTATGGTCAGACAGCTTGGGTTCAAGGCCCAGCTTTGCCAGTCATCAGCCCCGTGATCTTGGGCCGCTTACTTTCTCTTTCTCTTCCCTCACCCGTGAAAGGGGGAGGCCGTGTCTAGCTTGCAGGCCTGGTGAGCTCAGGACTGGATATGGCATCTGCCACCTGGCAGCTGGATGTACATGGACCTCCCCTCCTTGCTGGTGTCCTGACCCCGAGAGGATTTGCAGCACCCTTCCCACAGCCTCGGGCAGCCCCAGCCCAGGTCTCACCGGTTTCGGAGCAGGTCGTTGTCATAGTAGCGGCAGACGGCCCGACGCCCACAGCTCTGGGCCCAGTGCACACAGGTGGTGTCGATGGCACTGCCGTGGATCACAGGACTGGGCATCCAGGCTGCAGGAGGAGGTTCTCAGGGGACAACGGGGCCTGGCATTCCTGCACTGCCCCCCCAATCCCTAGCATGCCCAACCCTCAGGAGCGCTGAGCACTGGGGGCCTCTTGGGCCCTAAGTCTTTGGCGCTCAAGCCCACCCCTCACCCTGGGATCAGATGGTGCCTCCCGGATGGGCTGTTCAGCCTCTTACACACCTGCCTCTGGGTACTCAGGTCAGATCTGTTGCCCCACAGGACTGTGAACCCTGAGGTCAGGGGCCGGGTCCCATGCACCCCTGTGCCCCCCAGCCCCGGCACACGTGGGTATCTGGACCAGCGGTCCCAAGCATGTTCTTTACCCAAAACTCTCAGGAGCATGAACTGGATCCCCACAGCCAGAGTCTTGTCTTCTTTCTTCACTCCCCTAGAGGCAGGGACACGAGCGACATGAGGACTGAGGGGGTTACGGCCCTCCCGAGGCTCTCATCACCTACTTCTCTCCCACAACCCAGCACCAGCCTTCCCCCAGTCTGCAGGTCCTTGGGGGTGGGGGCCTCAGGCTCCACACCCCATTTCCCTTCAACCTGCAGAGCCCGGTCCCTGTGTACCAGGCATACCCACTGACCATCAGGGCCCTATGCTGGCCCCCTGTGTTCCTCGTCACAGACACCTCCCCTCTCTCCCCACCCCCTGGCCCTACCAAATTCTCCGCTTCCTCCTGCATTTGGCAAAACCTGGAGCTGAGCAGCCAGACACGCCTTCTAACTTCCCCAACCACCGTAATGCCGCAGCCTGGGGCGCCCTGGCTCCTCCTCCTAAGTAATAGCAGGGCCTGGCATGTATGGAGTGCTTGCTACGGGCTCAGTCATTTTGCACTGCAAGCCCCGCCTCACCCCCATGAGGCAGGTATGTCATTAGCCCCATTTTACTGATAAGGAGACTGACGCACGCTTAGACAGGTTAAGTGACTTGGCCAGGATCCCCTGGCCGACAGGTGTCAAGAGTGAGAATCCATGCGGCACACTGCCTGTGCTGAGGCCTCTTCATGGGGGCCTGCTGGGGTCTCACACCTCTGCTTTCTCTCTCGTGGCCAGCCTGTTTATGGATCTATGTGTCTTCTAATATTTGTGAGGGGCTCTGTCCCCCTCCTAATTTTCTAGAAAACAGGAAATAAAATAATCCCAGCATAATGAAAAATTTGGAATGATCCTGCTCTGAGGTCTCTTTACTCTAGTCCCCACCCCAAGAGATGCTGACTTTGGCCTCAGGTGACAATTTGTCAGTGCCAGCAGGCACCCGCAGGACAATGACCAGAAAAAGATCTTGGACCAAGAGGCAGTGCTCGGCACGGGCTGGGTCCACAGTGGGCACTTAATAAGTGCTTGCTGACTTGAAGTGGCATTCAGAATCATGGACCACACCGAGAGGGTTTGGTTTTCTGGGTGCACCTCCTGCGGCTTCACCCACTACAGGTAGGGTGGGGGCAGGGAGTCAAGTGACACTCTTCCTCAGGGTGACTGAGAGGTCAGGGCAGGGCCTTAGGTGTGGCCTCCGCTCCTGGGGCAAGTAGGAGCCCAGGCTCTGGGCCAGTACGATTTCACCCAACACTTGCGACGCGACCTGGGGCCAGCTCCTGAATTTCTCTGAACCTCAGTTGTCTTATCTGTAAGATGGGGAGGCAACTTCATCTCAGCAGGTTGCCATGAGGATGAAGAGAGGACAGTGAGAGCCTGGTCTATTGTGGGGGCCCAGGACACCAGAGTGGCCTCCTCTTTGAACTCCTCCCTCAGGGTTCCTCATCCTGCCTGTGGTTAAGGACCTCTTGGTGTCCACCGGCTCTGGCCCGCCTCTGCTTTCACCTTAGGATGAGCATGAAGGAGGGCGTGTGGGTGACACAGGCCAGTGTCGCACCCAGGCCGACCAGGACCATGAAGGGCAGCACCAGGTGGCTGCAGGCCGAGTTGCAGGAGCCCGCCAGCACAGGGCTGCCCCCCGCCACGCAGCTGCAGTTGGTATAGAAAACCTGGGGGGAGAAGGGGAGAAGAGCCTTCAGGAACCTGCAAAGGCAAGCAGCTGGCCAAGGGCCTGAGGCCCCGGATGGCTTGTAGAGACCCAAGTGCACACAGCAGCTGGGGCCGGGCTGGCTGGATGCTGGGACTTCTGACCCCCCATGTCAGCATGGCTTGAGCAGCCAGGCGGGTCCCTGGACACCGGCTGTCCACACACAACGGGCTGAGCCACGAGCTGAAGCTGTGGGGAGAGGGGGATGCGGAGCAAAAGGAGAGGGGCCTAGAAGAGCATCTCCCCTATGACACACCACACACAGTCACACACACACACTCACACACTCACATATATATACAGCCACACACTCACACATACACACCACACACTCCACACAATACACACTCACACCCCACACATACCACACACTCACACTCACATATAAATAGTCACACACTCACACTCACACATACCACACACAGTCACACACCACACAGTCACACTCACACACTCACATATATACACAGTCACACACATACACATTCACACATACACACCACACACACCACACTCACACACCACACACACACGCCACACACCACACACTCACACGCCACACATACCACACACTCACACATACACCCCACACAACACACACACTCACACACCACACACACACGCTCCACACACTCACACACACATTCACTCATTCTTTCATGTGGTGATGTCAGAATGTTCTGCATTCTTGACCATTTGTGCAAGGAATCAAAGCAACAGAGAGTGTCTTGGGGAAGGAACTCAGATTTCCCAGCCTAGTGTCCCCGCCTTCCCACTCCCCTGCGGTCTTCCAGGGTGCTGATTCTACAGCGACTCTCCAGGAGAGATTCAAGCACAGGATGGAGAGATGCTGACAGCACTATGGGAGTGAGCCCTAGGTCAGCAGATGAGGGGCAAGGAAGGCTTCACCAGAGAGGGGTGTTGGATTTGGGTCTTGAGGAATGAATAGGAGTTTGCCAAGAGGAAAATTGGAATGAGTAGATGGAGGGTAAAATCACAGTGGCATGAAAGAACGCAGCGAATCTTTCCTTCTGCCTGGAGCTCTCGAGGGGTGTGCCGGGGCAACATCGTGAAGAGCCATGGACGTGAAAGAAGAGCCTGGACTGCTGTTTCTAGAAACACGGTGGATCAGGTGCCCTGGCAATCATCCCGCTGACAACTGAAAATGCTGGATAAAGTTGCCCTGTCTGCATCCATGAGAGGCACAAAGTACTCAGACTCAGTACTCAGTGAGGCGGAACCCAGGGAGATGAACGGAACAAACTTTGGCCCCGAGCTCTTCGCAGAAACTCGTACAATGGCGTGTAGCTTCTGAGGTTTAGGGGGCTAAGGGGCCAGAGGACAAGCCCTAGCCCTCCCTCCTGCCAGGGTGAGAAGTCTAACAGGACGCCCCTGGAAAACTGGGACCCCTCCAAAGACTGAAGTCTGGGTAAAAGCTGACCCCTCTCCAAACTGCAGGAAAATGTCCCCTGGCCAGCCTGGGGTGTGTTTGATGGCAGCCACATTCCCACCCCCTAAGTGGCCTGGAAACCCTCCTGCCAAGGATTCTTTCAGGAGTGCCCTAGATGCCCAGTGCCCTCAGGTGCCCGACAGAAGCAAAGCCAAGCCAGGAAGCCCAGGCTTTTCTTTTCTTCGCCATAGATCAGAGTCTCCCTGATCAGTGTGCCCCAGGGACCCTCGGCTGGGAGACAGGTGTGCAGGGATGGGGCTGGGCTCATCAGCCCTCAATGTGGCCTGGCTGGTCTGGGGCAGCTGGAACCCTCTAGAACCCCACCTCCAGCCCTGGAAGCCTCAAACACTGCCAATGTGAAAAGGGTTGGGAAGCCCTGAGGTGGACACTGGGAGCCTTGGAAAGATTTGAAGCACGGGAGAGACAGACCTGATAGTACAAGGATCTTGGGTAACTAGGTGTGTGTTCCATTGCCCTGAGCTCCGTCCTGCAGAGCTCCTGTGCCTGACGAGGCTGTGCTGCCACCTGTGTGCGACGTCCTGCGCTCACACCACCTGGACCTTCACCTGCACGCTGAGCAACCCGCTGCACTGGAGATACAACGGAGGGACAGGGAAGGGGAGAAATACTGTCTGCGAGGCAAGGTTCCTGGAAGAGAAATGTCCTGCTCCTGTTCCTCTCCTGGGCCTCCGGGGGCAGAAGGCTCTGGGAGGGACACAAAAGCTAGAGGTCTTTTTCTTGGGGTTTTCCCCAGCCCTTCATTCCCATTCATCTCGTTCCATGGCAGAAAGCGCTTCTTACGAATGACTTCAATCTCTCCAGCTGCCTCTGACTCTCAGTCCCCAGGGGGATTCAGCTTCAACCCCTGAACCCTAGATCCTGCCAGCCACCCACCCCTCCTCATCTTCCCTCTGGTCATTTATTCATTCATAAACAGTTACTGAGCGCTGCTGGGCTGGACACTGACTGACCCACCCCTGGGCTGAGGAGCTCACAGTGGGCCTGAGGAGGCAGGCTCACCAAGAGACAATTCCAGGCCAGAGTGGCAGTTCCTGAGTGCTGGCCAGGGCTCAGCTGCACCCTCCTCCAAATCCTATACCCAAGCACAGCCTCTGAGGATGCTCTGGAGAGGGGGCTGGGCTGGGAGGCCAGAGCTCTGGGTTCTAGTTCCAGCTCTGGCACTAAGACTTTGGGCAATGCCCAGTCCTTTCCTGGGCCTCCATTTCCCATCTGTATAATGGGCATAATAGGAGTATGTATTACTGAGTGCTGAAGATTTCCCAGGCACTGTGCTAAGTGCTTTTCATGGATTATGTCCTGTGGCTCTTCTTACTATTTAATGAATTCATCCAGGTAAAGCATTTAGTACAGTGCATGGTATACAGTAGGCACTCAATACTATCACTTCCATTTGATAGATCAGGAAACTGAGGAACAGATGAACTAATTTGCCTAAAGTAACAGAGACAATTAGCGGCAGAACTGGGATTTGAGTCAGGGGACCTGGCCTCAGTGCTCAGGGGCCCATATCCACAAGAGTTCACTGTCCCCTCGGGACTCCTGCCCCAGCCGCCAGGGCCTGGGGCCTCTGGAACTGGGTCAGGACAGTGGGTGCTAGGAGGCCTGAAAGGCTGGGACTGTGATGATTGCGAATGCAAACATCACACAGCCCCCGGGGCGCCCGGCCGGCCTCTGAAGCACCATCAACCAGGCACTTGACTCTGACAGCCCGTGGGGCCCAGGTCTCTCCCTGGAGGAGCCTCGAGCTTAGATGCTGATGCCCAGCAGGACACGGTGGCAGGGGTTCTGGATGATGGAGGTGGGGGACTCTGGAGAGAGAGAGGTGTTGTCATAACAGCCACCCTGATACCACACCCCCCTACACATGCTTTACCACAGCCTGCAGGCCTGAGGAAGGTGGGTATTGTCCCCATTTGTCATTTGGGGGGACTGAGGAGAAAAGGGGAAGAGGAACCAGCTGGTCTGGGTGGCCTGTCTAAGGTTCACACGGAATGCACTGCCGCTGGTCATGCTGCCCTCTTTTCCCCCCTGGGAGTTCCTTGAGGGCAGGGCTCCTTGGCTCTGCATCCTCAGCTCCCAGTACAGGGCCTGGCACAGAGGAGGGGCTTGGTGAAGGTTTGTTGACTGACTGATTGACTGACTGAGTGGGCTCATTGCGTCAGCCTCCCCACTGGTCTCCCTGTCTCCTAGCCTGCCCTCTGCTCACCTTCCTCCACACTATGGCCTCAAGTGTGATCAAACACAGATCTGAACCTGTCACTCCCCTGCTTAAAACCCATCCAAGGCTCCCCATTGCTCTCCGGATAAAGTCCCCAATGGTGGCCTGACATTCAAGGCTCTTCCTCATCTGGGCCTGGTTTTCCCTCCAGGAACCCTTATGCTTCTGCTCCAACAAGTTCTTTGCAGTTTCTTGAAACACTGTGTGTATGTGTGTGTGTGTGTGTGCGCATACACTTGCTTCTAGATTCTGTTTCTGCTGTTCCCCCTGCCTAGAAAGCCCTTCCCCAGTGTGCCTACTCACCCTTGAAGGTCCAGCACAAATACCCCGTCCTGTGAAGCCTTCTGGGACCTCCCACCTATCACCACCCCTGGAACTCCTGAATTATTTCCTTCTGCATCTCCCCTGCGCAGACCGCGGGGCCAGATCCGGCTCACCTCTGTGCCCTGGGCCCTTGCACATGGCTGGGCCCTGGCTGGCCACAAAAGCTTATGTAGAGAATAATATTCTACATCTGCCAACAGAAGGAGACAGACAGACAGACAGAGAAGAGCCAGAGAGTGAGAACATTCAGAGGTGGAGAGTGTGACAGGCACAGAGACAGGGAAGGGCAGCCCGTAAGAGGCAGAGGGGGCAGCCAGAGGCCTCACCCACCTGGCTTTTGTCCAGACCCTCCTGGACCACCCGGCTTATGCAGCCTGCATGGCAGGGAGTGAGGTACTCCACACGGGTGCTGGGGTCGCAAACAGGGTTAAAGTCGTCCGATGGGCAGGAGCAGGGCTCCATGCAGCCTGGAAACAGCTCCAGCCCAGGCTGGGCTCTGGTGAAATAGAAGGTAGGCAGAGTTGGCCTGGCTTTCCCTCCCTCAGGCCACAAGCCGGGGCCACCTCAGCCCTTAGCCTGGCTCCCCACCCCTGAGAGCAATGGCCAGAGATTTCCGCTACACACAGAGGTTTTCCACTGTAAGGGCTGCTCCATGATGGCGCAGTGGTGAGCTCTTTGCAGTGGAGGTGTGTGAGCGGGGAGATGGGCTGGAAGCTGCAGGAAGCTTCTCCAATGGGAGAAGTGGAGTAGAGTCTGGACCAGAGGCCTCTGAGATCCCTTCCAGCCCCAAGATCCTACGAATCTTTGAGCTGCTTCTGCAAACATCTCTATTCCTCAATGGCCCTTCTTTAGGGAACACAAGATGAATTCCTCCCAGAATTTAGTCTCAGATGAAAAGTGCCTTTTTCTCGATGAGCTGGATTGCCTGCTTTTCTTAGAAAGTTCAGGCTATGTGCGTGGGACCCGGTCAGGATACTGACTAGCTGCGGGATCTCCGATATTCTTGCCTCTCTCTGGGCCTCAGTTTCTCTGTCTGTCAGCCCGCTCCCCATCCCCATCCTGCAGATTCATGACCTCTCGCTCACCCTCACTGCGCTGCTCACTGTGTCCAGGGCACGTTTTAGTCCCACCTGCCTCCCTCCTGAGGACCTGACCCCAAGTCCCAGGAGTGTCCCCACTCTAGTTGGCCAGAGTGAGATGGAGTAAACAGCAGCAAGAGATCAAAAGAGAGGCTGAGTCTGAGGGGGACAGGTCACCCTGGGAAGGGGACAGAGGTGGCCCCTGGGACTCAGAGTATAACCTGGCTTCACAGTTAGGAAAGAAAGCCTGCCAGGGAGCCATGGCCAGGCTGAGGAGGAGGCCACAGGGGGAAGCTGGAGGCCCTGTGGGCTTGGGGCGGGCGTGAGGCAGAGGCCCAGACAGAGTGGCAGGCCTGGCCAGCTTAGTGAAATCTCAGTCCCTCGGAGAAAAGGGTTAGCAGAGGCTGGGGAGGTGGCTGGGGTGACTGTAGCCAGCTTGGGGGTGGGGAGGTGGGGTATCGGGGCAGAGGTGAGTTCCACTCCCTCCCTAAGGTGGGGGTCTCCATCTGAGGCGGGAGGAAGATCATCGGCCAGCACAGTGCTCTCCTCCTCCCCTGCCAGGCAGCGCTGTGTGTCTGACACTGTCTCCCGCAGGAGGGGGGACAGGCTGGCAAAGTCTGAGCTGAGGGCCCCTCAGGAGGCCGTGCCAGGGGACCTTGTCCAGGGGGAGGCACCTCTCAAAGTCCCCCTAAAGCAGCTGGAAAGCTGAGCAGGCGAGAGCTAGGAGCTCTTCCTCAACTCCTTGCTCCTGTGGGGAAAGCCCTGGCTCCAGGCTCTGCCCCTCCCAGCTGGACAACCCTGGGCGGGCGACTGCACCTCTCTGAGCCTCGCTATCCTTATCTAGGAAATAAGATACAGGAAGCGCTGGGCAAGGTGTTGGGCAAGTGGGAGACCCTTGGGTCTTGGCAGCTGTCGGTATCGTTAGTTGTGCTGGAGTATGAGAAATTCTCCTCGGTTTGCTCAGTTGGTCCCAAAAGACTTCTTCAATGAATTAAAACCCAATGCTCAGTGAGAAAATTGCAAGAATGTAGATGAGAACGGGTGAGAGGGGATGTCAAAGTCAAGCTGAGAGGCAGAAGAAAAGAGAAATAGCATAAGTGGCGTAGGCTGAATTTTTTCCATTTGCTTTTTTAAAAATTTGTGATAAAATATCCATGTACTTACTTTTTACTCTAAAAATCATTTCAAGGCCCTAGCTCCCTCCTCAGACCAGGGGCTTCTCCAGGGCCTGGCTGAAGCCCCACCTGCCATGACTAGACCAGGGCCCCACCCTGGACGGCAGAGTTGCCTCACTGTTGGGAAAGGAGAAGGGACAAGGAAGCAGGGGGAGATGGGGAGAGGTCGGGGAGCGGGGACCTGGGACAGAGAGGGCAAGGGCTGAGCATCACTGGGGCCTGAGCCGAGGCCTCCATGTCACACAGAAGGAGCCCCAGCTGTGGAAAGCTGGCACCTGGGTGGAGTGAGGAGATGCCCAGGGAGAGGCCAGAACAGAGAAAGTTGGGGAATTCTAGCTGGGTGTTGGGCCAGCCTAAACCTGGAGCAGGTCCCAGGAAAAGTGAAATCACTCTAGAGAAGAGGCAGCAATGTAACTGCCAGCCTCCTCTCCAAGAAGGCTCCCAAGAGGAGAGGGTATGTAGGGGAGCAGGGAGGGAGAGAGGCATCAGAGGCTTTCCTCCTGGAGGGTGGAGGCAAGTGCTGCCCTAGTGACGTGGAAAGAGAATTCTGGAATTTTAGGGTCATGGAACAAGAGAGTTTTAGCCGTAGGCTCTAAGAACCAAGAATCTTCAAGGTCTCCAGGCCAACCCCTTCCCAGGGCATAAGTTCCCTCTGTTGCGCCCCTGTTGGGGCCCTCCAGCCCTGGTTCGCCCCCTCTCCCACCCTTGCTCCCCAGGGATGGAGAGCATGCTCCCTCCTAGGCAGGCATTTCCGCTGCCTGGGAGCAAAACTTCCTCAGGCTGAGCTGGGTCCTGCTCCTATGATGCGGCCTCCACTCCACCTCCACTGGGCACTCAGGGCTTGGCGACTCTGCAGATGCCATCCCACAAGTGGCTTTGCCCTGCCTCAGCCTCTACCCCTCCCCAGGGCTGAGCTGTCCTGTCCGTGAAGTTCCATTCCTGCCCCTTCTAGTGGTGCCTGACACCTTCACTGGAGCCTTCGAGAGGGAAGTCCCACGGCTCACAACTGAGCCTAGTGGGAGGGGAGGAGATGGGGCTCCGGGGGAGGTGAGATTTGAGACAGGTGGGTGCCCTACTGACCTGGCCTTGTCTGCCCCTGTCCCTGTCCCACCCCCCCATGCTAACGCTCACACGCTCTCGTACACACTCACCCAGGCTGGTGGATGATGCCTGCGATCTGGTGGGTAGAGCAGCCCATGAAGAAGAGGGGCAGGTTGAGAAGCAGGCAGAACAGCATCCCCAGCAGGCAAAGGATGCCACAGCGCATGGGGCCCATGTGGAGGCGCTTGACCAGGACGCCTCCCAACACAATGCCCACGATGGCCAAGGGGATGCTGATGCAGCCTATGAGCAGGTTGGCAAAGGACGCTGTGACGGAAAACTGGCGCTCCAGGAACTTGGGCAGGAAGGTGGCCAAGCCTGCCACCATGGACGACATGCACACCTGGGACAGGACCACCAGCAGGAAGATAGGGTGGCGCAGGGTCCGCAGCAGCACCTTGGGGAAGACTGTTGGGGTGAGTGAGGAGAAGGTCAGAGCGGGCAGGCCAGGCGTGGCATCTGTTCGTCCTATCCCGCCCTGATCAGTGTAAACTGTTCCATTCCTTCCATCCCATCTCATTCCATTTAATTCTATTGCATTCAATTCTGTGCCTTACATTTGACTCCTTTCCATTTAACTCTATTCCATTTTTGAAATTCTGTTTCATTCCATTCCATTGAGTGAGACTGCATTTTACTCAATCGTGTCTGTTTCCTTGCATTCTATTGAAAATTCAATTCCATATGCTTCTATTCCATACCGTCCCATTTGATTCTATTGCATTCATCCCACCCCATCTCATTTCATTTCTTCTTTTCTACTTATTCATCCCGTTTTTCTTTCACTCGGCCTTTTCCCCCTGTCCTGCTGTAGCTCTTTCCAAGCCAACTCCGGCCTTTGTCTTCTCCCTGTGTCCTCACATGGGGCAGCATCCCCTCCCCTGCTCACCCCATCTCTAGTTTATGTTTCTCCACAGCACTTTACTTAACATACTGCACATTTTACTCATTTAGCCATTGTATTGTCACCCCACCAAAAGGTAAGCTTCATTTAGATCAGGGATTTGTCTGTTGTGTTAGTTGCTGAATCTCCAGCACCTGGGACATAGTAGGCACTCAATAAATATTTATGGGATGAATGAAGGAATGAATGAATGGACATATAGACTAACATATGATCAAATATCAAAATGTTGGGGCTGAATCTAAGACCTCCCGAGAGGTGACACCTGGGCAGGCTTGGTACTGGGCAGTTCCTGGAGGGAGGACAGAGGTAGGGCCTGAAGAGTGGGAGGATCCTGAGAGGTGGGGTGGGGAGGAGAAGTAATTCCTAGGGGGGCACAGCAGGGGTGAAAGCATGGAGACAGGAACAGAAGTGATGGTTCTGGGGTCCTGGCTTTGATGACCAATCTCCTGCTAGCCCCTAAACCGGTACAGGGGTCCCTCACTGCAAGTCTGCTAAACCGAAGGCCACAGTGACATTGGGTCAGTCCCGAGCTCTGGGCTTCAGGGTTGTTATCAGCAGGGGCAGCCAAGGTGATGGCCAAGAACACTTTCCATTCTGACATGCTCAGCTCTCCACTAGCAACCAAAGAGTTTTTTCCACCTGTTTCCGCCTGCAGGAAACGAGATGGAAGTGAGACATAAGGAGTCGGGGAGAGGGGAGGAAAGACCTTTCTAAGAGGAGGCTCAGAGGAGCAAACCACTTGCCAGGCTGGGCTGGTGGGGAGAGGCGGCCGTGGGGCCCCTCTGGGCTGAGTGGGGGTCCCTTCTGTTCCTGCAGCAGCAGGACCAGGGCCTCTGTCGTGGGAGATTTCTGTCTGTCCTCAGAGCATGGCTGGAGCCAAGCCAGCTGGTTCCCCAGACCCCTGGGCGGGGCCAGGAGCTATTTCCTTGGGAGCCAGAAAATAAAGACAAACAGTCCAGGCAGAGTGGGTGGGAGCGGGGCTGTGGTTCTCCCCCTCCTTCATGTCCCAGGCCTGCCTCCTGTCCCTAGTCCCCTGCCACACATGCAGTGCATTCAACCAGCAATCGGAGTGGGGAGGTGTGACACTGGCCTTCACCCCAGGTAGCTGCTGCAGCTCCCTCCCTCCATGAGCTGCCCTGGCCAGGATTGGCCTGGGCTTGGCCCAAGATGTACAGGTGCTCTCATTGTACAGGTGGGGCCCCTAGAGGGGCAGGGACTCGCCCAAGTTCATCCAGAGAGGCCGGGGTGCGGCCAGGAGTCGTCCAGGATTTCCTGACTCCTAGTGTGAGGGCCATTCCCCCTCTACACCCACCCCCTATCCCTGTCCTCTGGCTGCCTGGCTCCAGAGGGCTCCCTCTCTCCTGTGCTGATCACTGCAGTGCGCTTGTACCCATCCTCTATCCTCTGTCTCTCTTCTGCATCTGCAGCCTGTCCCTAGAAGAGGTGAAAAATTCCTGGAGGGCAGGGTCAAGCCTTCCACTTAGGTAGGGGTCCCTGAAGGGGGACTCCAGGGCCAGTCTCTAGCTCAGAGGCAGGTCTTCTCCATTAGACAGGGGCTGCCCTCAGCTTACACAACCTCTCCCCCATCAGACAAGCCGGGGCCTCTTTCCACTCAGAGACTATGCCTCCCTTACCAGACAGGGGCCTCCCGCAGCTCAGAGGCTGGGTCTCCTCCCTCAGATAGGACAGGTCCTCCCTCAGTTTAGGGACTATGTTTCTTCCATTTGAGAGGGGCCTCCCTGAACTCAAGGACAATGTCTCACCCCTCAGAGAGGGGCCTCCCACAGCCCAGAAGCCAGGTCTCCTCCATTAGACAAGGCACGTTCTCCTCCATTCAGATACTGCATACCCTCCATCAGACAGGGACCTACCCCAGCACAGAGACTGTGTCTCTTCTGTCAAACAGGGTCTCTCCCTGCTCAGGGACTATGTCTCCCCCATCAGACAGGGCCCTTCCTTGGCTCAGGGACTGTCTTCTCCTAAGAGTTTAGGGCTCTTCCAGCTGAAGCCCCGTGTTCCTCCTCCCTCTGCCTCCCGCATGGTCCCATGTGGTCAAGGCCAAGCCTTGGGTCAGACTGGTCCCTCTGGAGCTCTGCAGAAAGCCCAGAAGCCAAGTTGGCTGATCAGCCACAGGGCCTGTGGCCAGCCCTGCCTCGGTCTCCTCTAGGCTCATGTAGAAGCTGAAACCACCAGAGACAATCTGGCCCAGGACACCAGCTCCAGGATCCAATTTCAGCGACTGGCCCCAGCTTCCCTCTGGGCAGGAGCCAAAGCAGTGATTAAGAAGCTCTTCCGTGGAGCAGCTTGCTGGGGCTTTCCAGCAGCTGGGGTGGGGTGGGAGGCTGAGGTTAGGGAGTCCAGGCCCCTGCCTCTAGGCCCCGCCCCATGGGGTCCCAGGATACCCATTTCCCTGAGGGTGCTGGAGAACCGGGGTCTAGATGACTGGTATCCCAGAATCAAGTCTTAGGAAACTCTTCCCAAGAATTGGGCCTAATTAACTTCTTGTTGCAAAAGCCCTCAGTTTGAGGGATAGGGGCAGTTAGGGGGGTTATCACCCTCCTAAACCATGGGCTGTTCAATTTACTGTCCCGGGACATGGTCAGAATAATAATAGTAGGGCAGGTATGATTGAAATAATAATTGTACCTTATACAGGTACAGTTTTTTTTAGTGGTATACAAAGGGCTTTCTGTTCATCACCCTATTTGATTCTCCTAATAGTCCTTGAGAGAAGCAGAGCAAGGATTACCAACCCAATCTTTCAGATGATGAAACTCAGGTTAAGGAAGGAAAGTAATTTCTATAAGAATGTATACCGGTCAGTGTTGGGCCTCAAATCCAGGTCTTCTGATTTGCTGTCCAGGGCTCTACAAGAGCCTGGGCACACAGCAGGCACTCAATCAATGTTAATGGGATCAGAATCTTTAGAAAGAACAGCGTGGTCACAACATGGACCCTGGTTACTGATCGACTGAGTTCATAGTCTCTGGATCAGAGAGAGAAGGATCTTAGATTGTTGAGTCTACCCCTCACTGTACAGATGGGGAAAGTGAGGCCCAGAGAGCAAGGACCCGGGACAAAAGTTTTCTGGACTTCAGCCCAGAGCTCCCTCCACCCATGCCACCACCTGGGAATTCAATAAATATTTACTGAGAGCCTCCTGTTTGCAGGCTCAGAGGTGGGAGAAGAAGAAGGGTCATAGATGAGCCAGCACCTTCGGGAATTCACTGCTTGGGGGAAGGGCTGGATAAGTGCATGGCACAGATCTGAACTGACGTAGAAGCCCTGAGGGTTTGGAGAGTTGAGAGGAGGGAGAGCCAGGCCGCCCGAGGAAGGACAGAAGTGGCACTTGAACTTGACCTAGAGGGACAAGAAAGATTTTGATAGACAACCATAAAAAATGGTGTTCCAGGTGGAGGGGATCATATGAGCAAAGACTTACAAGGACCGTATGGTGTCCATGAGGGACCTATAGGTATGGAAGGTGAATCAAGAAAGGCAGGAAGGGGCTGGATCCTGCACAGCTTCAAATGCCCCACCCCCGGCCCCAGCTCCCCATAGCCTGGCCTGAGCTCACTTACCTTTGATGAACTGGGTCACAGTCAGGTCTGGTGCAATCTGGGCTAGGCCATCATTCTTCTCTAAGGACTCCCCAGGGCTCTGCTCAGAGGAGGAGTCCTCACCCTGGGGAGACACACAACCAAGGGCTGTGAGTTGGGTGCCAGACATTCTGCTCAGAGGATGCTTGTGAGCTGGGGAAGGGAGCTCAGGGAGAGGAGGGGGTGGGGGTGTGTCCCTCATCTGGAGCAATAGGGGCCAGCAACGTTCCATTTGTTCTTGGTCCTTTAGGTACTTGGCAAGTGGTTTTAAAAGGAGGGATGAAATTCTGGTGGTTAACTTTGTCATCATCGTCATTAACATCATAATAGTCATCAACATTACCATGAAAATTACCACCATAACTGCCATCATCATCATTATTCCCATCACCTTATATATCACCCCCACTCACGTCACCAATATCATCATGAATAAATGACCAATATTGTCCTTACTATTATCATCATCTCCATCATGGTCACTCACTGCCAGCACAATCATTGTCATCATCACTGACACCTGACCCTTCAGAATGAGCAACAACATGATTATCAGAATAACCAATATCATTATCGTATCCCTAACATCCTCATTATCCCTACCACTGTCTTCACCTCCATCAGCATCCCCTGCCTCTGTCTGAGGTCATCACCATACCGCTACCTTCAGTTGCTATACCACTCACGGCTGTCATCACCTGGAGAGTCGCCATGAGCAGGCGCCTCTGGTGAACTGTGCCTTCCTAGAGGTTGGGGTGGTGTGGGCCTACAGGCCCATCCTGTTCTATGCTGTCTGCTGCGACAGGAAGGAACTGGGGCGGGGGAGGCAACAGCCCCCTGCCTCCTTTTGGATGAGTCTGGCCACACCCAGAGAGGCGCTCAGCTCTGTGACCATGCTGTGAGGAGGTTCATTGACCCCCTGGAGTGTGTCCCCTACCTGGGTGAGGAAGGTCTATGTGCAACTCTTGAAGGAAAGGTCTTTTATCCTAGGAAAGAGGAACCTTGCGGGGACACAATCATGGTCTTCTGATTGTCAGAAAGAAGGAAGGAAATAGAGATAATAATGGTCAATGGTTACTAAGCACTTAGCACCAGCCAGGCACTGTTCTAATGACTAATCCATTAACTCATTGACCTCACAGCAACCTTCTCAAGGAGGTACCATTATAATCCCTATTTTTCAAGGCATAAAACTGAAACCCAGAGAGATGAAGTAACTTGCCTGGTCACACAACTCATAAGTGGTCTGGCTAGGATGTGAACCCACACGGCTTGACTCCAGAGCCTGTGTGCACTAGGCCGGTTCACCCTGAGGGAGGGGGGGAACCAAGGCCCCCACTTGCTGGGTATTCTACCTTCCCTGCTCTAATACCACAAGGCTTGCAGCAGGTACTGTGACCGCGCACATTTATCAGATGAGGAGTAAGTCTTGGAGAAGTTGCAACTGGCACGGGGTCATTCGAATATAGGTGATCGAGTGGGGTCAGATTTTACTAAATTTTTCTGCGCAGCCTAAGACCAGGATTAGAAGCAGCAAGTTCCATGGAGGGAGACTGAAGCCCAGTGTAACCAGCAGCTTGGACAAGGCTGCCCTGGAAGGAAGTGAGTCCCCATAACTAGGAGCACGCAAGCAGAGGCTGGCCTCCTCCTGGTCTGGAGTGCTGTACGCCACCGGGGAGGCGGGGTTGGGCTGGAGAGCTCATCTGGGGTCCTCTGGTTCTGGCACTTCTCTCTCTGTGGAGCCTCTGAGAGATCCCTGCAGGTCTGGAACCTTCTCTTTCCTCTCCTATCTCGTTTTTTTTAGGGAGCCTCAGGAGGCAAATACTGGATTTCCCCACATTTCAGAACTCCGTGCCCACAGCCACCCCAGGGGTGCCCTGTTGCAAGCTCCCTCCAGCTGGCTCCCTGGTGCTGGCTGGCCCAACACTGGCCTCGCCCCAGCAGGGGAATTCCTTCAAACATCAGTTCTTGCGTGTCTGTCCCACTGGCGCTTTCCCTTTCTCCTCTCTTCTCCTATTCCAGCAGGTGGTGGGCGCTGGCTGTCCCGGACTCGGGGGAGGGTTGTTGCAGGGCAGGCAACAGTCATCGGCTGAAAGATTTCCCTTCCTGGTTTTTGTTTCCAAAGCCGAGTAAATTGAGAAGATTGTGCTGGAAGTTGTGGGGGTGGGGCGTGAGGAGAGAGGGAGGCCTCTGAGAACGAGGGGAAGAACATGGGGACCCAGCAGCCTGTGGGTTCCATGAGCAGCAGGGAGCCACACTGCCTCTGAGACAGTGCCCAAGGAAGCAGCTCACCCCTGAGGGGCAGGCAGAAGGCTGACCTAGGGAGGCTGTGCTCCCATGTTTCCTGCCACACGAAGCTCCTCTGCTCCAAGCATGTTAAGGGGACCACATGGGCCAGAATGGATTGAGGCTGATGCCTCCTGGGTGGGAGTGGGACCTCCCTGGAGCCTAGGCACCCTGTAAGACCTCAGGACCTTTGTTTCACCTTGGTGGGTGAGCCCTGAGAAAGGCTGAGGTTGAATGTCTTGCTGATCCAGCAGGATGGGCATTCAGAGTAGAAGTTGAGTTGAGTTTCATAGAAAATAAGGAACTATTTATCTTATACACACTTAGGTCTGAGTCAAACCTTGTTCAGTGTCTCTCTCCCTTGCTGGACTCTGACCTCTGCAAAAGCAGGGATCATGTTTATCTTGTTGTCTGTCGAAACCCTGGTGCCTAGCACAGGGCCTGGGGCAAAATAATGGGTATTTGATAAATATCTACGAAAAGATGAGTACAAAGGATGGCTCCCACAGGCAGTGGGGTCAGCCAGTGCCAGGCTCCTGGAAGGAAAATGAGAACATCAACAGGAGATGCTATTGCACTGCAAGCAAGCTCTTAGACTGCTCCTGGGTCAGAGAGGGGCAAAGCGTCCACACTGAGTACCGGGGGCCTAGCAGAACAGAGATTCCAGGCAGGCCAGGCCACTGGTGTGGGCTGCTAGCTCCGCGTGCGTGCTCCTGCCCCATCCTTGCTGGGGCCTGCAAAGGAAGGAGACTTACACTCCACACAGGAGCAAATGAGCTGCGAGGTGAGGGAACTTGCTCAACATCCACAACTAGAAAGTGGCAGGACTAGGATCTGAGCTCAAGCCTGCTTGAGTGGGAAATCTCACGCTTTATCAACTAAACCCTGTGAGCCAGAGGCCCTGTGCAGGGCTGGCAGAATGAGGAGGCACCTTTGCGGTGTGATGTGCAGGGGCCTGAAATCCCACACTGGAGTCTTCTTTCTCTGGGTGAGGCGCCGGGGATCTGTTATTCATTTAGACCTTAGAGCTGAGCTGTCTGATGCAGCAGCCACCAGCCACACGTGGCCACAGAGCACTGGAAATAGGGCTAGCAGAATGGAGATGTGCTGAAAGTATAAAGCACACGTTGCATTTCAAAGATTTAGTATGAAAAAAAAGACTGGAAAAGATCTCATTGTTAATTTTTCATATTTATGATATACTAAAATGAGAATATTTTAGATATAGTGGGTTAAATAAAATACGTTATTAAAATTAATTTCTTTTACTTTTGCATGTGGCTACTAGAAAATTTAGAATTACATTTGTGGCTCACATAACAGTTTTTTGGACAGGCTGCCTCACAGAGAATTGGAGAATCTCCTTGCTCCTTTCTCAGCCCCAGCAGAGCTATGGGAGGGCGGTGTGGGAGGGACATCCCAGCGTGCTGGGAGCATCCTGGGTACCTGTGGGGGGAGGGACTAGGAGTAGTGCGCTGCAGGCAGGAGGAGGGGCTGGGGGAGACCGATAACTTTTAGCGGTTCCTATCAGGGAGGGGCAGCCTTACCCTTTAGATGGGCAGAATCTCCTGAGTCCCTTGCCTGGGGTTCCTTGTCCCCATATAAACAGTAAAAACCCCACAATGTCATCTGTTGCCACACATACAACCCTATATGATCTACTCTGCACTTTCACATCCACCATGTCATTCAATTCCCACAACAGTCTGGGGCAGGGGTTATTACTGCACCCATTTCACAGAGGAGGAAACTGGGGCCCCCAAAAGGGAGTGTTATCCAGGGAGTAATTGGCAGAGCAGACTCTCGAACCCAGGTTCTCTAGGAGCCCTGTCTCACCCCTGTCTCCTGCTGTGAAAAAGAGCGTGGAGCTTGCAGACTGGAGGGGAGGGACAGGCCTTCAGGGGCTGGGGTGCAGGGAAGGTCTCCAGGGAGAAGTGGGGTTTGGGATTTGGATGGACAGGAAGGGGGAGCTTATTTGAAGCAGGGGCATAGTACAGCAGGTGTGGTGGTGGGAAGGGGCCTGCCGTGTGCGGGAGACAATGGGGAAACCAGCCTGACTGCAGCCAAGGGCCTCTGGGCCCAGAGCTGGGGCAGCAGCTGGGAGGTTCGGAGGGCCAGGCTAAGGGACTCCGGTTTTATCCAGTGGGCACCGGGAGCCCTGACTCTCTCCAGCTCTTGTCTCAGTGCTGTCTGCAGGTTTCCGCCTCTCTCCCCAGATCTGTTTTGAGGACTCCTGACTGATAGTGGGCTCCAGAAACAGGAAACATCGCCCTCTGCTCAGAGCAGGGCAGGGAGTTCGACCCATCTGGGCTGTGGTTTGCCCAGGTCAGCAGGCCTGGGCTGAGGGAGCTGCTTAGAACTTCCCCTCTCGGGGCTGTGTGCTGACAGCTGCAAGCCCGCCGAACATGGGACACTGTGTGTGGTCTGCTGCACAAAATGTCCCACTGTCTGTGGGGCCTCCAGGGATCCAGGAGCTGCCCTCAGAGGAAGCTGGGTTCCTAGAAGGCTCCACCCCGGGCCTCTGTCCCCAGCCGCATGGAGCCATTGCTGACCCTGGCAGGTGATGTGGACCTCTCTGCCAGCCTGCAGCTTCCACCACATATCGGCATGGGGAGCAGCCACAGGGATGGGTTATCTGCTAAACTTCCCATCCCCTACAGTGGGGAGATGGGGTTTTCTGCAGGTGCTTGGAGATCTGAGCTTCTGTGAGGAATGAGTCATGCTTCTGGCTTTCTTACATGAAATTCATGCCACTGGCCGTGCCTCTCTTTTCCCTTCAGCTCTCAGAATCAAAGAAAT